ATAATAATATATTAATATATTATTCTTGGTGTTATTATTATTAAAATAATGATTAATTAATAATATTAATATATTATTATTGGTGTTATTATTATTATATTATATTATTATTATTATTATTAAAATAATGATTATTGATAATATTATTATTATTATTGGTGTTGAGTTGAGCTGTCTGAGTACACCAGGTGTGTGTGTGTCTCTCAGCCTGATGGCAGCAGACTGCGTTCACCAGGTGGAGATGATTTGGTGATGAGGAGTGTGAAGGCGTTCACTCTCAGAGAGAGAGGAAGCAGTGGTTGGAGAGACTGGACTTAAGACTGCAGGACTGAAGCTTGTTTCAATGAAGGAAGAAAGAATAAAAGAACTTTCATTTAGTTCATTCAGGTTATTTAATACCATGTAGGTTAAAAAGTTAAGAAATGTGGTGAATTTAAAAAGTATTCAAGCCTAAAGTCATTTGATGAATGTGATTTATGTAAGTTAAAATCACCATTGAACAGTGCTTTAAAACGGATTTGATTTATTTGGGTACTTTAAATGTTGGTTTACTATTTATTTTAGTAGGTAAAAATGAAGTATGAGTTTGGATTGTGGAGATTCATTATGGTTTCTACATTTTCTTAAAGACTATTTGTTTGTTTTTAAGGTTTTTCACCTGCTGTTGGCCTCGGCAACTTTCAGAATAAAAGAAAGGAAAGAAAGCTGAATCTTGGTCACTGACTGAAGTCCAGTAACAATCTTCTGAAGCAAGCTGAGAAGAGTGAGGGCCACTTCACAAATGCTATTATTATTATTACTATTATTAATCACAGAGATAAATCAATAAGTTCACATTCTGATACAGAATAAATCAAACATATTGACAACTTGATGTCGATCAATAAAGATACAACAGGTGAAAACAATGGAAATGAACGCAGGAATGACTTCCTGTTTTTGTAGAAATAAAGCCGATGAGTTGATTGATTATTGATCTGTCTCTGGGTAAGGACACTGCACAAGCTGTGAACTCTCTGAATTATCTGGATTTGTGCATACGTTGGTTCTCAATGTTCTGATCTTCATGAACTCATCCCACAGTACGGCACAGCATCCAAACCTCATCCCAACGGAGTGTATCGAGACCTCCAGGAGAACTTTAGTCCATCTGTCCACCAGCTGAAGA